AGAGGTGCCAAAATACATAATAGATGGTCTGGATGGTATTACTCTTGTGGGGTCCTACCCAGCCCCCAGCCCATAAGATAGACTTTGTGCGGTGCAGGAGTTCCACAAAAGTTTCTCTCTGTCTCTGTGAATTAAGTTTCTTATACATCCCTCACTGCTACCGCATCTGAATGCATGAGCCAACTGTATACAAGATTACCTATCCTGGCAAATTTGGTTTGCCATGTATGGGTTTGGGAGAAAATAAGAGAGCTGACCAGGGAATGACAGTCTCATATAAATAAGACCTTATCAAACTCTCCTTTTTAAGCTTTTCCTTTCTGCACTAACGCCATGCAGATCCCACAAGCATTCCTATACCCCTCAGGGCCCACTGCTTTACTCAGGCAAAACAACTATTGAAGCCTGAAGGTCCATGCTGTGACCCAGTCCTTCAAGCCTCCCATGCTCAGAACTTCCATTGACTTCAAAGAGAGCTCCACACATGGCAGGCTGGCAGGATGTAGCCCAGAGCAAGGATGGTGCTACAAAGACTGTATTTATTATTTATAATACACTTCTGTGAACTTGGAGCTCAGAGGCAAAGTTGTCTATCAGGGGCAAGCTTTATAGGGAAGAATCGTATTAAGAAGAAACCTTGTAAATATGTTACAGAAATCAAAATTCATATTCACAAAGTATTTTCTTCCACCTGAGAAGCTCAAAGGTGGCTTCATATGAAATGTGCTAAGTTTATGAAGCAGTTTAAGTCCACTTGACATTTTTTTAAATATTGTGAATTAAATTCCACTTTTAATGAAATATGGCCAGATGCTACCTTTTAACATAGGATCTATTGCGTTAACATGTGTTTGCAATTGCCCAAATATATACCATGAAGCAGATTCTAATGGCTTGTTGAAAGCCCCTTTGGCATCTCTAAATGATGTGTCTAAATATTTGAAGATACACAAGCTCATTCATTCCAGAGAGCAGGTAAAGTCTCAAATGCAGGTGAGAAAGGATGTACATTAAAAACTGTATTTAAATGGTCACAAATAGTTGTGCCAGGGCCAAAGCTGCAAGACCTTTCTCTGGCAGCTACATTGAAATGAATGGGTCTACCCATGTCTGTAAGCTCTGCTCATGTAGGAGTATGGGTGGCAGCTAGAGCCCCACAGACAGCAACAGAGCAGGTTGGGGTGACAGACACTGGTCTTGAAGCCACTGTAAGAGGAAACACTCGTGCCTGCTTCACTGTGCATTGGGCCTAGCCAAAAATGAAAAGAAAACCACAATGGTGAAAAGAAAGTCAGCTGGGATTTATTATTTACTCTCTCACATGATACAAGAAGTAGGGAACATAAAACAAAACCAGCAAGTTGAAAACTAACAGGGGGAAGTTTTTTCACACAGCCCCTCATGGAAGTGTGGACTCCTTGCCACCAATTGTTGTGGGAGCGCAGCTCAGCCAGGGTCAAAAAAGAGATGGGACAAATCCTCGGAAAAAAGGGGCCTCACTAGCTGCTGAGCAGGGGAGTGAGGGGCACAGCCCCTGCCTCAGACCTGCCTAGACTTGAAATGTTGGAGGCTGCAAGCAGTGGGGAAAAACTGGCCAGACCCAATTTACTCTCCCTTCCAGGCTCCGGGGTCTGCCATGGACTGGGCAGGATGGACCCGTGGTCTGACCCGGTCACGGCCAGTTCTGTTCAGACTGGCTCATGCACGCCCCTCTCCCAGCTCCCTCCACCCCCAGTGCACACCGTGGCCCCCCACTGTGCCACGACACCCTGGTGCACCCTGGCCCCTGCCCGCCCCCGGGGCACCTCCTGAGACCCTGCTGGGGCTGCCTCGAGCTCACCTCCCTCCAGGTGCCAGGTGCTTGCCGGGTCTCAGGCCCCCAGCGGCTTCCCCCTGGCAAGTGCACAGAGCCCCCAGGGAAGGCTGATCTCAGCCCCGTGCCTCTGATCTCAGCCCCTTCCCGGGGTCCCTCCCCGGCCGCCCCCTGCCCGCCGGGGCTGGAGCACGGGCGCAACCTGGCAGCGCAGCCAGCTGCCATTTCCACCCACGGCAGCCTCCATTTTAGCGTTAATTCCTCCCTGTCCGGGCTCTCAGCTCCCTTTGCCTTGGATTATCTCGTGCATTTGCGTGTGCCCCCCTCCCAGCCCCTCCCGCCCCCCCCCACCCC